CCTATAACATAGTAGGAAACAAATGGGTCTTTAGGATCAAACGCAATGCTGATGGATCAGTCTAAAGGTATAAGGCCAGGCTAGTGGTAAAAGGCTTCTATCAAGCCCTTGGAGTCAACTACTATGAGACCTTCAGCCCTGTGATCAAACCATCTACTCTGAGAATCATACTAACTTTAGCAGTCTCCAAGGAATGGATCATCAGATAGGTAGATATAAACAACGTTTTCCTCAATGGAGAACTCGAAAAAACTGTCTATATGAATCAGCCTGAGGGTTTTGTTGATGAATCAAAGCCAAACCATGTATGCAAGCTCGAAAAGGCCCTTTATCGATTGAAACAGGCTCCCAAGGCATGGTATGATAAGCTGAAAGTCACATTCTTGGGCTGGAAGTTTAAACAATCTGTAGCAGATACATCGTTGTTTTATTTCAAGACAGAACAACAGGTAATCTTCGCCCTTATTTTCGTGGATGATATTGTCATCACTGGCAATGACAAAGACCTGATACAAATCTTCATAAGTTCACTTAATGAGAAATTTGCCCTGCAAGATATGGGAAGATTGCATCACTTTCTTGGGGTTGAAGATGTATGGCATAACTCTGGGATTCATCTCACTTAATCTAGATATATCATTGATTTGCTTAAAAGATTTGAGCTCGAAAATGTTAAACCTTGCCCTACACCTATCCCTGCTGGTAGAACTATCTCCAAAACTGATGGTGAAATGCTGGCAGAACCATCAGTTTACAGAAGTGCAATTGGCGCTTTGCAATATCTTTCATACACAAGACCAGATATTACCTTCATCGTCAACAAGCTGAGCCATTTCTTGCAATTTCAACCTTTACTCACTGGCAGGCTCTAAAAAGAGTACTAAGATATCTTAAAGGAACCATAAATCATGGGTTATGGATCTAAAGAAATGACAGATTGAGTCTTAATGGTTATTTAGACGCTAACTGGGCCTCTTGCCCTAATAACAGAAGATCTACAACAAGATATTGCATCTATTTAGGTGATAATCTTATATCTTGGTCTTCCAAAAAGCAGCACGTGGTTGCATGCTCAAGCACTGAATCTGAATACAGAGCACTTGCCCAACTGCTTTAGAAGTTTCATGGATTCAATCGTTATTTCAAGAACTTGAGCTTCCATTAGCTGGAGTTCTAACTTTGTGGTGTGATAACATGAGTGTAGGAGCTCTTGCTTCCAATCCGGTTTATCACGCCAGAATAAAGCACATAGAATTGGACATCCACTTCATCAGAGATAAGGTGCGATAAGAAAACTTGAAGTAAAATATATACCCACTTCAGATCAAATTGTAGATTTGCTGACAAAAGGGCTAAATCATTCCAGGTTTCTCTTCTTAAATGACAAGCTTGGCGACGTCACTTATGCACCATCCGCTTGAAGGGGGGTGTTAAGAATTGATATCAAGTCATCACACTCTCCACATCATCACTCCAACTCACCAATACTCATCAGCATTCCATCATTGATTGCATTACCGTTTTACCTTGCTGTTGTTGGACCATCATTTAGTTGTACAAAGATTCCAACATGATCCTTGATTTAAGGAACAACCTAACAGCTATATTTTCTAGATTCTTCTTGTATCAATAGCTATGTATTATATGTTCAATTACATCAATGAAGTTGATTTACGGTTCAGCAAAATTATCTTCTCCTTTCATCCATATTTCAACTTGTAGTAACCAATATTGTTCGAAAAAAAGAACAATGTCTACACCAGCAATACACAGTGACAAAAAATGTTCAAAAATAGACTTGATATTTAGTGAAAAAATAGAATTTTTAATGTAACATGTGTTTTGAGCAAAAAATTAGGGACTAGGGCTGAGACATTGATCGACGTTGAAGACTCTCCGATGAGTATATGTGTGAAAGCACTTATCCGAGTTTCTATTCTTTTTCAATTATATGTAAATGGAGTTGTTATTTACTTAACTACTGTAAATTATTTTTAATATTAAAAAAATTATAATTTGGATACAATTGTTGGAAAAATGGGTTATTTGAAGCTTAATTGGAGTTTATTCAGTGCAAGTAAAGATTAGTCGAATTACGCGATCAATTTAAAGTATTAATAAAGCATTTGTTAAAAAATCATAAGTTTCAGGATGTTAAATTCTACATTTGAAAATTTTGGGTACTAAATTGTAAACTTTCAAAACCTGCATCGTGTCAATTATTAATAATTTTGAGATGAAGATAACTTAATTACAAAGATTAGAAGGTGAAGACCTAAAATTGCATGAGATAAGGGGCCCAATTGAGAATGGGAATTTTTTTTTCTTGTCAAACTCTTTCTGGAAACTAGTTTGAACAAGGATTTTGACTAAAATCTTGTTCTATAAATATATGCTTTACTCCAACAATTAGAGATGCTTGTAGGGTTTCATTATACACAAATATTCAAACCTAGGATTGGGGATCCATTATATCATTATATGCATATTATACAAATCAAATGGGCCTTTAGGACAAAAAAATATGGGAACAATACATAAATAAGGCATTTAAGTATCACCATTTCAAAATTAAGGATAGATGTTTTAAATTTCAAAAATCAGGTTTTCATTAAAATTTATTTATAATTTAATTATTTAATTATATATTTAATTAATAAATATATAAATGTCACAGATCTATACAATTTGGTCGAAATTCAAAAATTTTAAGGTCACAATTCAAAATTTTTATAGGTCATAGTTCGTTCATCGATCACAAATTAAAAATTTAAAAGTCACAATTTGTTCATCGGTCACAAATCACAAAATTTATAAGTCACACAACTTATTTTATGGTCAGAAAAAATCAAATTATAGGTCACCGATATAACTTAATAAAATGTGAGTCACAATCACAATTTTTAGGTTATACATTATTAATTTGTCAAAAATTTCACAATCAACCAAATAATTGGTCACAGACACCCATGTCCATCTCATACCACCCACGACCATTGTCACGACACTGCACACAGCACCGCAACGCACACCTCCACCTCCACCTCCACCTCCACATCCACATCTACCACCACTGCACCACTACTGACCTCCGTTCCCACCACCACCAAAATATCACAGAACACACACAGATCAACATACATACCCATAGATTGCCTACCTCCACCACCCGCAACCGCACAAACAACCATCACCACCACCACCACCAGTCGCCATTGCCATCACTGCCAAAACAGCACAGAACATATAAAATACACAGATGAGCACACACACAACAGACGCATGGTAAAACTCGACACCCACCGCCACACCACTGCACCACCATCGCACCAGAACAACGAATCTGCACTGACGATGCTACTAAACAAACCGCGAGGAATGGCGATGAGTGTTGTCGCGCGAGGCAGATGCGGATTGTTGATGAGGACGAAGGAGGACAGATCTGTGAAGGAGTTGCTTTCGACGAGGTAAAGAAAAATGGCGATGGAATGGGGGTGATTGGGGGTGGAGAGACGGAGAGGAGAAGAGGCAGAGAGAGCGACAGTGAGAATAGAGAAGTTGTTGGAAAAATTGGGGATGAAAAATGTACAATTAATAATTAAAACCTTTAATTAAAACCTCATTTTTGTATTATGAAACTAGATACCTGATTTATGAAAATGATATTTTAAAATCAGGTGTAGGTGTAATTTCCTCAAAAAATATATCAATCCCAAAGAAGAGAGCCCCAAAATGAGAGAAAAATCAAGTAATCAATCAAGAAGTCAGTGTTTCAAGGATTTGACAAAATGAATATGGATTCTTGATGCAAGATAGCTTCTCTCATGATGTGTAATTTAGTGCCTTAATTTTAATTAAAAAGTTTTAAATCTCTAATTGAAGTTGTCAATTGTTTTACATATATTATTAATGCAATGAATTAATGGGCAATTAATTCATTGATTTGCAAGTGATAATTACGTTGAGAGTCGAGTTATTTGTATAGACCACGTAGTAAAAATCTATAATTTGGATAAAATCATAAAAATATGCTTTCATGGTTGTTGTAATCGTTAAAGAAATTCTTTGATGATTGAATGCTATTTATTAAGGTTTATTCAAACTTACATAGAGATATGATATGTTGACTTAATTGCATAAGATTTGTTTGAACTCGAAAGAGGTAAATCAATTAATTACTAAATACGCGTAATCAATTGTTATTAAATTAGGTGATTTAGATTAAGTGGATAGTTATGGTGAACTCATGAATTCTAGCATTTAAGTCATCATTACTTCTATTTCTTTTTCAATCAAATTGGATATTGTTGAACTAACGATTAAATAGTAGTGCTCGTGAAAATGATGATTCAGACTCTTAAGTCGACTTTATTACTTATTATGATCAGTACACTTGCAGGATACAAAATCAATGTTTTGGAGACGATCTAACCCTATTCATCACCAATGCTTTGGACACTATCTACTTTAAAAGAAAACAACCACAATGTAGAGTGAAAACTATCTCTAAAAGTCCAAGAAAAAAGAAAGGGAACCCAATAAAAAATAAGAGAAAAAAACACACAAAGTGCGTTGAAGTAGTGACAAAACAATTATAAATCATTTTTATTTTTATTTTTGAATTTGAGGAAAAAACATGAACCGCTCAAGCGAGCCAACTTGGGTGAGCAACGAGCGGCGCACAAAAGTATTTTTCTGTTTGGCTCGCACCTGCAGCTCGTCTCAAGTGCGAGCCAAACTGACGAACACATAATGCAAGAAACAAACAAAAGACCACACCCAAAGGATTTTAATCACTGAAAGTAGAGTACACCTAGAATCCAACTCAAAAATCATGTCAAATCATTAGATTGACATGAAGACCGCACCAACGAAAATTACTTAACAAATCTGATATCCTTTCATACATATCGCATATGCAGTCCTTTTATTGCTACTCATTGCAAAAAGAAAACGATAATTGGGCAGAACTCCCAGAATCTCATGTAAATCTCCTGTGTTCAGCGGTAAGATCCCATCCTTATTCCAGTATCCCTACTTTGAGGCAATAATCCATCATCAGCCTTCGAGTAGCTAACGTAGAAAAGCTCAGAGACTGTGCCAGTAAAAACGATGAATGCGGCCCCTGCCCCAAAGACTCCCTTCCTCAAGGTTTCACAAGAAGGAGGATTTTCAGACAAAAAGGTTCTGTACTTCGTATGGTAGGCATTTCTAACAGAACCCGCCAACAGGCATACCTCAGCAACGAAAAATGTAACCCTGTATTGTCAACGAATCAATTTTAGTTCAAGACTGAAAAAACTGGAAGGTAATCTGTATACTCAAATGTTGAAAATTAACATCAAGCATTTCCACCTAAACATTATACAACCGTTTTCGTCACTCTGTCAGACTCATTGCTTCACTATTGCGTTAGATTCAATTATAATATCCCGTGATACTCGTCTATACTAATAGATTATGTAATTATCTTAGATCTTTCCGTTTATAGTATCATCTTGCATATTTGTTATTTGCATGTAGTCCTTTAATTAGTACCATCCTCTTTTTTAAACCAAGAGCTAATTGGGATTAATAGTACCATCCCTCTTGCAATATTCATATAAGAAATAAGACAGTATTTCTCAATAATTTTGTCATATTGGAAGATCTGAAGTAGACAGATTCTCAACAATACATTCATCTAAACACTCGCTTCTACTACGCTCATCTTTCGAATGTCTTGTTCTTTACCTGTCCAGTACCCAGAACCATAAAGCTTCCCCATCAAAATTATAAAAATAAATAACAGGGGAATATAAAAACCAAACAAATTCAATTATGAAAGTTATAATCCTGTTGCAATTAGAAACTGGTCTATGGAAATAAAAATATACCAGCAAGTGATGAATAGGACAATTGCCCATGCCCTTGAACTACCAGGTAGCAGAGCCCTCCCACAGCATAAGCATCGACTAGCCATCATTATCAAGGCTTGACTAGCCATAAGAAATAAAAAGGACCCCACACCCAGGCCAGTTGATATGTCCGAATCATAAACGCAGTAGTTAGACTTCACATGTGTGGCAATTTTAGCCTGCCAGAAATGATCAAAATGGACGAGTCAGAACCCTGTCCCAGAAAATAGAAGAGATGTACTTCTAGGCCTTGTAGTTTTGCTTAGAACAAAGTATTTCGTCAGCTTCAGGAATAACATATGCTTGTGTCGCCATTTGTTCTAACTAACAAGTCATGAGAACTAATAAACCTTGTGTTTAAACATAATACAAATTATCTCTTAGATTTTCAGTTTATTTCCATTAAGTTGATACTACGTATTCCACAAACTACTTCCCCCACATTTCAAGAAAAGCAACTGTGATGGGGAACTAAGCCTCTGTTTGACAATCATTATTTGAGAAAAACAATATTTCGAATAGTGAATTTTAATATGTGTGGTTAAAATGTAATGAAAGTTTTGACTTTACGTACTGAATATTTTATTGTGTGAATGTATAGTTGAAAATGAGTATTTAAAAAAAAGAGTTTTCAAATTATGATTGTTAAGCAAGGCCTAAATATTGTTTGATATTGAACATCACGCATAGAGACACCAATAAAAGCCAGAAATAATGCTGCTTAGAATATAATTGATCACGACGGCTATCCAACCAATGATTCCAGATGTAACTAAAAGGCCCCATCCAGAACCAGCTTAGGTCCCATTTCAACATTGAAGAGTTAAAAGTACACATAACCCTTTCACCCCCAATTGCATAGGACAAATAATCCTCTGCTTTTATCAAGCTATCCACAAAGCAATGATAAGGAGAAATCTAAGCGAGATATCATAAAACTTAGAAATATACCAGAAGGGGGAAAAAAAAAGAAGCATATTCAATAAATAGATTTGCACAAGCTGCATAACACAGACTAAGCACACCAGCAAGGATAAAATCAGACGATGAATAAGAAAATGAACAAAAAAAATTCATATCAGAGAAACTCACAGAAGATCTCTTCTGCTCAGCTGCAACAGCAAGTCCAAAAGCAATCAAATCAAAGATAAAAACCACAACCAATACCAGAGTTGATGCCATCCCAATTTTCGCTTCACTTTTCCCGTATTCCAAACTTCACAGCAAAAATCGTTCTACAAATTTCAAGAAATTGAAGACAGCAAAATCAAGCACTCTCCAAAAGATTCTTGATTGTGGTTGCTCTTGTAGAGTACAAAAAATCAAAAAGAAAAGAAAGCCTTCCAGCTTAAGGTGCCGCTTCACTTTATTCCAAGGTAGCGTAGCCGTGTTACTTTTCTTTTTCTAGTCATGGGATGTGAATGTGCATGAACATGAACATGAACATGACACCGAGAATTAACAAGTGTAACAAACACACAGCTTTACATCCACTGATGAAAAGGTGGCCAGTGGTCACGTGTCATGCACTATAAGAAAGGGATGGTATTCGGCTATAGTCATCGTACTCGAGTTGGTCCGGTTAAAGTATTGGGTCAAGGAGCCTCGTTTAAATTATTGGGTTAATTTAGAGGGTTATTGGTCGAATTCGTGAAACAATAGTGAATGAAATTTATAATAAGAATAATGCTACTTGTACATAAACAGTTAAATAATAGTTTGTACACAGATGAGGTGTCAAAATCAAGGTGGGAAAGATTTTTTTTTTTTACATTGGTTGAAAAAATTCTGACCCAATTATATTTTAACTACGTCGCGTGTATACAAACTATTATGTAAACTTATTGTTTACATGTAGCACAATAAAACATCTTTTTAACAAAATAAAGATTCGTAGAGTAAATTCAAAAGTTATCATGATTGTGTTGAAAAATTAGTGTTTCGTATATAGAAAATATACATTAACCTATCGCAATTTAAATTAACAAAATTCAATAATATAAAATAATAAGAAATCAATTAAGAAATAAAAGTTATTTAGAAAAACTGGCTTTAATGAGAGCTGCGTAGTATAATATTTTAAAGCAAATTTGTCTCCCTTCGCGCGAGTACTAACGGCTCCCATATGAAACTCTTTCAAAATTCAAAGTGTTTCTCCTTCTACATGCACTACACTAGAGAGAATATCGAACCAGCCTTTTTCATGTTGCTTAATATTCTTGTGTGTATTTATTTCCTGTGTAGTACAATGTAGGGGAGTAAGCGGTCCGATTTTTGCGGTTTTTGACAAATTTTCAAACAAAACCGTTTTGACCGGTTTGAGAAAAATTCAAACCTAAACCAAACCGTTTTGACCGGTTTGAAAAAAACTCAAACCTAAACCTAACGGTTTGGTCCGGTTTTAAACCCCCGGTTTCGCGTATATTTTTTT